ATGCCCTAGGTGTGATCATGCGTGCCACCATGATTACAAATGAATGAATCGTCCTTCATCCTAATTGTATTGTTCAATCTTCCTAATCGTATCGCCCAATGGTCCATTCCAAATCGTATAATCGTCCAATCGTTTTTTTGCCTTAAAAGCGATTTTGAACAGTTAAATGAAAAACTATTAATTAAAATTTTAGAATAAATTATTTTACATATGTTACTTGTAAATATGGTATATTCGATTCAATGTTAGCAAATAGAGCACGAAAACAAGAAAGATAATAATCGTGTCAAGAAAATCACTATTTAAACTTTTTCTTTAAAAACATATCTTCGTTTACTTACTTTATTTCGCTATAACATCTTGTCATGGGATTTCGGCATGACACCTCACTCCTCTTTAAGCCTCTTTGTCTGTTTGCATGACTAATTCAGTCATGTACATCAACCGCGGTTATTGCGGGGGGAGTCAAATATCAAGGTAAATTTTTGAGGTTGCTTTACATTCTTCGTTGACGGTTGATTTTATGTGACTGGTGCCAAAGCTTGTGCACAAACCCAACTTAAAGCACTGGAGGTTTGATTTGCTGTGAGTAATATTACCTAGCAGAGACACTGGTTCACTATCAAGGGGTAACTCTTGAAGGCTGTGTGACAACTTCGATTGGGGATTGCGCTTTCCGGGGTCAATAGTAAATACAATTGATATTATAATTAAGTGCAAATAGTTGGTAAATTGCATTTTGAAAAGAATTTGCTTTCCTCATTTAGTCATAGTCTATCATTGGTGCGCTGTTCATTAGATATTTTATAGTACAATTTTATAACTACATCTATATTTCGATTTCTCTTAATCACATTTTTTATAATGACATACTATGGTACGTAATTTCATACTTAGGTCAGCTACCATTTGAAATCGGCCGTAAATGTCAAATAATTTTTTTTATTTATATTCGATTTTCAAATAAAACCATTCCCATTTTATTTGTGCACATTAAATTAATTAATTAATAAATATTCTGTAAATAATATTATTTACAATAATTTATCTAAATTTCTTCTTATAATTAAAAAATTACTTGATTAATTGTTTGTGTATGTTTATATATACTTTATCAAACATGTATATACCAGTATACATATAATTCTGAGAACTTAAGTATAAAAAATGTTAACAATTCAATATCAATTCAAGTAGAAAATCCATGTATTTTAGAAAATTTTCTACTTGGGAATCTCTTAATAAATAAATAATCTGCGAACTAATCAGTAAACTACTTAATACCAAATTAAATGGGATTGGTTTAGTTTAAACGTGTTAGCTAATGTTCTTCTGATTACTAAACAAGTTTTGTTGTTTTATAGTGCGGAACACCCAAAGAACAGTCGGTGAGTTCGGTTAACAAGTGTTAGATCTAATAAGCTCATTTATAAATTTGATTTTTACTGGAAGAATATTCTCCAATTAAACACTTAACAATAGAGTTTTATCACTTATCAAATAGAATGTTCTCTATTTTATACTGTGAAATAGCATTGTGTGGAACTATCCATAATATATGGCAATATTATTTAATTAATAACATAAAATGTAAAGTTATTTATACGATAAAATGATCTCTGATTTTCAAGTCTTTAACAGAGTTAGCGGTCTAGTTATGCAGTCTTTAAATTGTATACCAACATTTTAAAATTATAAATATGTGTTTCTAAAGACTTCCTATGGTGGATATTTGGCGATACTTAAAAAAAGCTTCGAGCCAAAAATTCACTAAATTAAAAATTAGTTCTTCTTACTCCATTTCATTATATCAGAAGGCCCTATGCTCCACTTAGGAAAGAAGGACAGCAGTAAAAAAAAAGTATATCAGTGGCATAGTCAGTATTGAACCAATGGGGAAATATTTTTTATTTTAGTATTTTGTAGTCTATTTAATGTAGATTATGTTGTGAAGAGAATACGGCACTGTATTATATAGATTTATGTTTTTCTTATTGGTAACAATTAGTTTAAATAAAATTTAATTATTAACTTATTATTGACTTATTATTAACAAGAATATTTTTAACGTAATCTTTATTAATCAGTATTTATCAGAAAGAGCACATAAACAGAAGTACGTTCATTGATATCTATAATACAACTACTGATATAAGATTTTTCTTAATACTATGTTCCCTCTGCAGCTGAATCAATTTACATATATTAATCAAATTAAGGTTTGGTTGTTTCCATTGGCACAAGTTGATTTATGCATGAGAAAGAGTGTCAAAGAGGTTTGTGATAATTCTAGAAGAGTTTTCTGTACGTCTTATTCGAATTATTGTTTTTTTGTTTAATTACATTATCTTTTATATGTGAAATATGATAAATTTCAAAAATTTCCCTTTTGGGAATTATATTTTGCTATGTTGCTTTCGCCTTTTTTGGTGTAATTTCTCTTGATTTATTCTTAATTAAGTTAAAAAGCACAAAAGCGCTTTGGATAGTTAATTAAATTTCTTTAGTGAACGAAATCAAGTAAATTGCTTTAATGAAGGCAATGGGAACATGTTATAACTATTCTAAATTTTTATATAGAATTCACAATGTATAACTTTCACTTTTAATGAGTGTAGTTTGAAGTTTAACAGAATGAGCTTTTCTAAGAAGGATATTGAGTGACAAGGATAGTATATACCAAGATTTGCGAATTAGTTTAAGTTTGTTTTTACAGAGGACATCTTAGTACTCTAACCATAATTTTAATTAGAAAGAGATAAACCATAATTATTTCTTTCTAGTGAATAAAATTTGTTTTTGATTTTGATAATTAAATGGAATAGCTAAGTACTGAAAGTGTTATTGCTAACAATATCTATTAAAAAGTAAAAAATAGTGTTCATTGAATTATTTATTTTTATGTATAATAATTATTAAAAAGGAAGAAAGTTGAAAATTTTAAATGTACTTGAAAAAAAAATATTAAATATATATCATTGGTTTTTTTGTAATTCTACAAATATAGTAATAGATTAATAGAGTTGTAATAAAGATATATTTATGAGTGATAAAAAACAGGGTTGATACTTATAATATAATAAAAAATTCTGTGTGTTGGTGAGGTTAAGTTTAATACTGGATTAACACGAGACTTTTGTTTAGCTGTCAAAAATTTTTATTTTGCATTGAAAGCAAGAACAATTGACAGCTAAAATTATAAACAAAACTATCGTGTGAATCCAGTATAAGGATCAATATGTGAAAGGCTCCATAAAGATCGCATATTTTTCCGTTGCCTTTCTAAAGGGTTTTCATTATTATTTACTTTATAGTAAAGAGAGTACGTAAGATGAATAATATTAACGTGTATAATTCTTTTTGGTTTGATGAGTATATGAAGAGTATACTTTAGTCAAAGAATCTATAGTACAAAGAAGTGCCACGCTCATACAAACGAAATACCCACTTTATTTTGCTGGTGGATTTATAATAAATCCACCCAACCTCATGCAACAATGTTCGATCGAGTCACAACTGGTATGATGTTCAGTTCAAACCTATATGTGAGTCGAGTAAGGCTGACAAAAACCTGACTGCATACGTATTCAATCATACATGCAACCCTCTGTATTACATTATATGCATGTTTGTATGTTTGTTCGCTGTAAAATGTTCAAACGATCAAACAGCATTTCAGTGACGAAGTCAAAATTGTGTACGTTTGATAAGTTTTTGAATTTAATAGCATATGAAACAAAATTACCTGTTTGATATTGTTATGAATTGTAGTATAAAAACTCATTACAAATTTATTTATGTCTCAAATCTGATTTTTTCCTTTTTCTGACTTTTCCAATTTTAACAATCCTTTGTAAATAGCATTCATGCGCTTCCTCAAACCAGGAAGCATTATTAGTGGTTTTAGTGACTTCTATACATTTTTTCAATATAATTTTTCTTACTTTTCTAATATTTTTATTTTCTTTAAAATACTTTTCAAACAATTTTATATGAATCTTAAAAATATTTTTTAAAATAATCACAAAAAGTCACCAAAAATTCAAACTATTAAGAAGTAGTTCCTTTTGAGGTAAAATATATGCATAAATGTGCAATAAAAACATACATATTAATATACTGCAGACTTAATGTCTCCAATATCACATTTGTACATACATAATGCTTTTTGTAGTGCATCATTTGTTGCAATAAAAAAAATAATAAATTCTATTACTCTTTACTCCTATGATAGGGGCCTTTCCAGTACAATAAGATAAAGCAACAAAGTATATCGAAAAATTATTTGAGGGATTTCTTTACCATTCACTTTCGTTACTAATCCATGTATATGAATTAAATAGACAAATAAAAACAAGAAAGGCAAAAGAAACAGGCGTATAAAAACAATTGTGGGTTGCAATGAGTTTGAACTGAACATCATACCAGTTGTGACTCGATCGAACATTGTTGCATGAGGTTGGGTGGATTTATTATAAATCCACCAGCAAAATAAAGTGGGTATTTCGTTTGTATGAGCGTGGCACTTCTTTGTACTATAGATTCTTTGCTTTAGTATTTATCAGCAAGTGCTTTTATTGAAACAATAAGTTTGTTGTTGGATGTACTATATATCATATCTAGTTTTTCTTAAATTTATGATAAGTTAAGAAGTATTATGAAGTATGACTTAATTATACTAAGTAATTTTCACTATTTAACAAAGTTATTTAATAATTAAGTAGTAACAAAATAAATGAAATATTATATGTTATTGGTAGTGCATTTTAAGGTCGTTTCTACTGCATTTAAAATTTAAATTCATTTTTGCAATTGCAATTGTTGCAATAATGCAAAATTTGCTTAGCAATATTTACTCTGCTGCCTACTGCTCTGTGATAAACTTCGTTTAACCAATTTTAGCCAGATTGTATCACTGCTTTACATTCAAATTATCAGTGCCAGTATCAGTTTCTGTTTGACAATTAAAATCAGTTGCTGTTAATAAACTAATGACAAAACGTCAACGTGTCAATTATATTCGATTAAAAATTACCTTATCGTTATAATTGGATTCTGTTGTGTATAGCGAGGGTCTGATTCACACACTCCGGCAGATGTAATAAAAACTGAAAATGCTGCCTTAATAGCGTCAAACGGTCTTCAAAGTCGGTAAACACTGCATGTTTGCTAGAGACGTTCCTCAGTAAAACCGCGGCTCAATTGTGAATTTGACTTTCAATAAAAAAGTATCTTCAGGAGTGCGTGCATTTTTTAAGAGTGCGTTTTAAGAGTGTCTATAAAAATACTTATCAAGTAAGTGGGGTGTTAAGTTGTTTATTTGTTTAAATTTTTATATTGTAAAGAATAAATAATTTTTTATAAATGAAACTTTTTTGTATTGAGCCCTTGATTTTGAAGTGTACACCTGCTCTTGCAGGTGTTAAGGTTTTAAATTTCTGATTCGATATAGTTTCTAATCGGTAATTTTCAACATCAATATATTACAATGGTATATTAATTTAGTCATCGATTTCTTTTTATTTTATTTATTTTTTCGCACTTATCATTTTGTAATTATTAATTTAAGAATTATTATCGACCCGACGAATAAAGTTTTAAATTTTTTGCACTATTAATAGAGAAGAAAAAAAAGTTCTTGATTATTTTTGCACTAATAATAAGTTTAATTATTTATCAATATATAATAAAAGCTCTTTGTTAAAAACTTTCTTTGTTAAAAATATTTTAAGGGCCCTTTTACAATTGGTCCTTTTACAATTAGGTCTTAACACTTAAGTGTGGATTTGATGCTAAAATGATATATGTATATTTGAATTTTAAGTATTATTTAAGTGCCCAATATCATACACTTAGGGGTTACTCAACCTAAGTATGTTTGAATTTTAAGTATTACTTAAGTGCCCAATATCATACAGTACGGGGTTACTCCACCTAAGTATGCATTATAAAACTGGGACTAGGTTTATTTACCTAAAAAATATATTCAAGCTTTTGATTTAAAATTAGTTAATGGAAATTATTATAAATCGACGACAATTTTATTTAGTCTGGTATTGCAATTTATATTATTTATTACTATTGCTCGTTTATGACATGTTCTAAAAATTTATAAAATTAAACATACAGTACTAGAAACTTTTTGTAGAAAGACTAAGTTCTTAGATATGCAATCAATTTTTGATTGTATTTAATAATCATTAAAAGGTAATTAATATATATCGATGACAATTTCATTAAGAAGTATCTCTAAATTAAATTTCTTATTATTTTCCAAAAATCCAAGTTAGACATTTAAAAAACTTTTAGGAACAAAAGAGAGTATGGGTAGGCATGGCTGATTGGTCTTCTAAAAAGACTTTAGACATTTTTAATAATTTTTATAAACAACACAGAAGGTAGGTAGCCAAGTCTAACTAACAAATGAATGTAATATATCCATAGAGATATCAAATTTGAACCTTTAAAGTCAGTTAATAATATTACTTTATACGTCTAAAGTATCATTATCGAGTATTGAGAGATAGTACGTTTCAAGATCAAGGAGTAAGTTCAGTCTAAGTTTAAAGAAAGATTTAAGATTTTCTACAAAAACATAATGAAAATATAATATTAAAAAGTAAAAGATGTTTTTTTTTGTACTTTTAATTTAATTTAAATCAAAATGTTTCATCAACTAATTTTATTTCCTGTTTCGTTAATATTTTTTCCATGCTCATACAGAAAAATTTCCATCCAATAATTAAAGCTAAAAAATTTTAATATATATTTCAAGAAAAAAAAAAAAAGAATTGACAGTTTTATTAATTAAAAATTAATAGTAATGTTAATTACGCACTGCGACAGTGGAGTGCGATTGCGACTCATAACATTTAAACTTTTTCAGAGGTGGGCGAATTTACTTCCAATTTTTTTACTGTCAAATGTAATATATTTACATATATATAAAAAATAAAAAACGAAAAAAAAACTGTAGAAATTATAATTAAATTGCTATTTTTATAGCCTAAGGGAGGTATGTCATACGCAGAATGGGTTGCTACACCGTTAATTAAGATACGTTTTAATGATAATGATACTTTATTTAATTATTTGATAAGAAAATAATTTATTTTGTATTATAAACAATTCAAATATTTACAGAATGTATCGTGATATAAGTGAATAAAAATGTGTGAAGGGGATTACTTCTACTTATTTTCTTTACTGGTATTATTAAGAAATTTGTCCAAAGTCTTCTTCTTTAAAATGAATGCAAAGATTTCTGAAATCTGAAAGCAGAGATGCAGTAATTTTAATCAATGGTCTTAATCCTTGTCAAAAATTTTAAGAGAATAGCTTAATAGGTATCGAGTCCACAACAAAAATATTGGCTATTTTTTCAATCTATAGATCTGAATTCAAAGATGCTTCAAAAATGCATAAAACAATTTAAACAGATAATTATAATTTAAGTTTCAACAATCTCAGTAGTGCATCACTCAGATTAATCAGTGGTCTATACTAATACTAAAGCCCTAAGACAATCTGAACAGCTTTTTTGATTTTGTAACAAAAATGATGACAGGTTTTTTATTTTATTTTTGGTTCCTTATATTTGATCTGATTTAAATACAGATTAATCACTAGATATACACTTATTAACTAATATTTTTTAAAGACGGGCTAAAAAAATGCTGACAGATTCTGTGAGATACAAAGTGAAACTTTAGTCTATTTTATCTGCCCAGTTTTATTTGAACCGAATAAGGTCAAATAAAAAGGAATAAGGTCTGGAATCTTAAATAAGAGAAAAATAAATAAGACAAATATCTTAAACTGTTCAAGTGTAGACTTAGTAGACTAAGGGCTTAGGAGACTTTCTTAACACAATATATCTTATAGGTTGAAATATAGCTTTCTTACAACTTATTAATAACTGTTAATAGGTTTCTATAACAATCTGTTATTATTTTTTACAAATAATAACACCACATATAATAGATATTGTAGTACCAGCATAAGCAATATTAAATACGTGGGACTTAAGGCAAGATTAGCAAGTGAGCTGCAAAGTGAATTCAGGTTGGTAACCGACGGCTAATCAGAGAAGTTATACGATTGCAGCTGCTGTAGAATAAATTGTTTAATTTATTAAAATAATCTAAACATAGTTGTAAGACCAACTAACTAATTTAAGACCATGTAATTATATTTTTTTAACACAAAATTATTAAAGTTACTTACAACCTAAAGTAAATCTTTTCATTATAATTATCACTGAAATTGATCAATTGTTTTATATTTATTTATTGTTACTATTTTTATACTGCTAACTTATTTAATTGTATTCATGTATAATATATTTATTTATTTATTTATCTAATATATAAATATTTATCATTGAGTATGTTACGTCAAGCTATTTTTTTTATGAAAACTGAAAACACAAAAAGGTTCGCCGCTTCTGTTGCAGACAGTCTCAAAAAATCTTCTGTTTTAATGACTGCAAATAAATTAAGTAGACATGATAATCATTTCGTGGGAGTTGGGTGATAAGGGTCAAAATTAATTAGTTAAAATATAATTAATAAATTTTTAAAAATAAACGCAGTGCTTTTAGTCCGGCAGCATTGCTACTACACTTATCAAAAAAGATAAGTGCCTCAAAAATGAGCTTATATTGCATCATATTTAATTCTTAAATAAAATATGGACTTTGATTAAAGTTTCCCATAAATTGGTAAAATTATTTAAATAATTGTGTAGAAATAAATTAAATTTGTTTAAATGCAAATATAAGATTCAGATTAGCTTATAACGTTTTGGATTGGTAAATCTGGATTCAATCTAGATTTACTCTTGATCTGTCAAATTTTGTAATCCAATCCAATTTTTGTAGTGATGTTAGTACAAATACTATATATTTTACAAATACATGTATTAAGTCAAATCGCAGTCTATACGTCATATAAAACGAGTGTACGAGTGTAATTTTGCTACACTGACTAAATATCTAGAGTGTTATAAATTTGTCTCGAGTGTTTTTATTCGAGATTTACCAACCGAATATGAAAATTGCACTGAAAGTGCATTTAAAGAGCAGATTTACAAATCGAAATCGCCATTAGATTTATTGAGAAAACTGGAAATTATAGTAATTATAGAAATTTGAAAAAATCTTTCGAGTCCATGCAGAGTGTACAAATATCTCTAAGTCACAATGCAAAACTCCATAGCTTAATATTAATTGTATTAAGTTAATTTAAAAAATTTTGAAAAGTTGTTTTTTAGTCAAGTGGATTCTTGGGATCACCGTACAACTGTTTCGGATATCGCCAAATAACCATCATCAGTTATCTGTGGAAAAATCTATTGGTTTAATTATTCGTTAATGATTTTTGGTACTGGTGTGGGATCAAGCCAACCCAATTAACGATATTTTATTTACTATTGTAAACTTTTTCATTTGAAATAGATTGTATGTCATAGAATATATAATTTTTAATTAAATTCTTTAAAAATTTTGTTTTGGAAATATTTGCCTTTCAAATGCATGAACAAAATAATAACAAATTAGCTTTAGATTGAAATTTCTAGAAAGTTCTTTCCTTTGATTTTCCATTTAAATAGAAAAAAGTAAATAATAATTTCTTTATTTTAAGTTCATTAAAACCATTACAAATCAGACCTTGAAATCTAATACAAGCAAAGATACTTTAAACAACTCGCTAATATATATAAAGTAAATATGTATATACATTAGTTTAGTATGAAAAATGATAATTAGTGCCTATTTTGGTAGCAAATCTTATCAGAAGCTAAGGCAAGCATAAATCAAGTTGGCATGCGCCTAGAAGTGTTTTAACAAAAAACAGAAAAAAATTGTAAAAAATTATATAAAAGACGCATATTTGTCACGCAGATTGAGTTGAAAAGTTTATCACCAGCATTGCCTATAGGCGCCGAGAAATCACCAGAGATGTGCACTGTTGCCATTGAAATTCTACCTAAGCGCCGAGAGTACCTAAAAGTTAAAGATGCAGTCAACGATTTATTTACAGTGAAGTCATTAAAATTTTAAAATTTCAAATATTAATGCCATTCCAAGTAAAAGTTCGTACTCAAACTCAATTAGATTGAAGAGTGCATAAGTTTCCACAGATTAATTAATCTGTATCAGCGTGGGAAGTTGCTGCTTCCTTGGTTCAGTGAATCTGCGGTAGTTACTTTTTAGCTGACCCAATAAATAATGTTAAAGGGAATATTTAATTGTGGAGCAATTTATTTTTTACTTTAAAATGAATATTGAGCATAACAATTATTTTTAGAAGTTTTTTTTTGTGATTTAGATTGTGCCAATTTCTGACCAACCAACTTACATTTTACTTTCTGTTGGCATAATAAATGCGCCTTTGCAACGTGACTTATGTCAGGTGTTGAAATTTCAACATTTGTTGAACTTTGCAGGTCCTTTGTGCGCCGCAATTGAAATAGGAAACCGAAATCCTTGTATGCATATGAAAATAAAAGAGTTCAGAACCTACAACAAGCGAAAGTAACAACAACAACAAATTAAAAACTTTTCACTACCTTTGCGTTGGTTAGAAACTGTTTTCCATATTTTTCCCTAACGTTCCTGTTTTTGCAAGCGAAATATTTAAATTTTGTAGCATATTTATGGGGGCATAAATGCTCTGCCTCTTGCCATTCACTTCACTTGTTTTTCATATTTACGCATAAGTTTGTTTTGATAACATTTATATTCTTGTTTACTTTTAACTTACTTACTTTTTTTTGTTTTTTATTAAAATAGTACAATGTTAACACTTGCCTTTACACGTGTGAATATATTCCAATATTTGTGTTCTCTCCTTGCAGCACCTTCCTTCAGTTGGAGCGCTTTCGCAGGAACTCTTAGTATCTACAATGGAAATGACATTTAAACACAATCAATTGTGTACCGCCATTGTCCTGTCAATAATTGTGCTGTTAATGAGTGGTGACGCATATGGTGGGCGGCAGGACCTGGGTGCGTATGCAGCGCGACGTAACGTGCCATCCCAAGCTTTGCTCAATGAACTACTGGCAAATGTCAATGAAGATACTGTATTAAACGAATTGGTAAATAAACAAAATATTTTTAAATTATTTTATTTCTAATTTTATAATTGATTAAAAAATTATGAAATATGGCTCAGTTAGGTTAGCTTTCAGGTAATAGTTCTACAGAATTTATTTAACAAAATTTGCAAGTCAGCATATCAAGTTTCCTATTATGTTTGAGTATTTGATAATTTATTTCTGATAGCCAAATAAAATAACCCCTTTAAAATTGTATAATTAAGGTTGGCTTTTAAATTAAATTGTAAATATATGTATTTTTAATATTATAAAACCACCACTTCTGGTTTAGGAATAAAGAAGTTTCATACAACAGACTTATTAGGTCCGGTCAGTACATCAGTAGAAAATTTGCGTAATTGTAGTAGATTAAAAATATGTCGAGGGCCGTGCAAACATTAGGCATGGGCCACATGCGGCTGGGGAACGCACTTTGGACAACCCTGATTTAGGACATATAACATTTGATTTTAGTTATGGAAATGATATAAATGTCAGGATACATCCACAAAAGATTGATAAGCACTTTATAATTAGTTTTATGAGTTTTGAATATTGGCTGACTAAGTCGTATATTATTTACTAAAGAAATATGCAGAAGAAATAAGAAAAAGAAATAAGAAAAACAAATAAGAAGAAGAAATCTGCCGAAAAAATGAGAAAAAGAAATAAGAAGAACAAATAAGAAGAGGAAATAAGGAGAACAAATATGCAGAAGAAATAAGAAGGTAAGAATCCTGATGAAATAAGAAGAAATAATAAAAAGAAGTAAAAATATGCAGAAGAAATAAGTAAAAGAAATAAGAAGAACAAATAAGAAAAGGAAATAAGGAGAACAAATATACAGAAGAAATAGGAAGAAGAAATAAGAAAAAGAAATAAGAAAAGGAAATAAGAAGAAGTAATATGCAGAAAAAATAGGAAGAAGAAATAAGAAGAAGAAATAATAAAAAGAAATAAGAAGAAATATGCAGAAGAAATAGGAAGAAAAAATGAGAAAAAGAAATTCGAAGAACAAATAAGATGAGGAAATACGAAGAAGAAAGAAAAAGAAAATAGAAGAAGAAAAAAGAAAAAGAAAAAGGACAAGGAAAGAAGAAGAAGAAGAAGAATGAAGAAAAAAGTTAGAGGAAGAAAAGATTTACACACAACATGCTTACCCCGCACAATTTAGAATGTTTCAAAAAATTTTAAAATATGTCCATCCTCGTATAATTTTTAACAAGTTTCAAGAAATTGCAAAAAATTCGCAATTGTTTGTTATTTTAATATTAAGTTTAATATAACATATAAGAAAATAAAAGAGATTAAAATAAAACGTGATATATTTTTTTACTAATAAATATATTAAGTATATCAGAAACTCAGAGAGGCCGACCATATTAAGGCGTCCTAAGGGGTTTGGGCTAATTATTCCAAGTTTAACAATCAATCGTGTCTCGTATATAGTGTAACCTAAAAACAAATGAATAAAGCTTTTCTTAAATATACCGATAATAAGTAGATAAATACTACAATGGCTTGGTACACACATACGATGATTGACGAATTACTTTATCAGATATAAGTGAATTCCGAAATAAAAGTAGTATTTAAAAATATTGCTAATAATAAGAATACAACAAAAGTTATTTTTGCTATCTGTAATTTTAGTAAATCCTTTCAAAAACATAATACACTTTTCTTCCATTCCATTGTTCTTGATAGAACTAGGTGACATTATTCGTTACAAGATTATGTTATGTGTATATTTTGATATATGTTTTTTAGAGTATTAATATAATTTGATCCTTCCATCAAACTGGCGATCTTAATTATTTTGATAGGCGAGCAAAAAATCAGGTATATATTGAAGATTATTTTTATAAGTCTGGTTCTTGTATTTATTTTCTCAAATATGGAGAAGTTAGTTCTGGGAGGAGTTCAATGAACTCGTAACATTCTTTCATATACGCATTCTTTAATGGCTTTGTTCTCATCTCATGTATTTCATCTGCTGTATATCTTAAGAAAATAATATAGAGTTCTTATAATCAAATAAAATTGATGGGATTAACTTTATATGTTAAAATTAAGCGCCAAATTTATTTTTAAATGTGTTTAATTTGATTAGAATTAAGGAGATAAAATATACAATAAATTACTAAGTGAGGTTTCATGTTTGGGAATATACATATTCATTCCATTTAAATTTTTTTATGACTGACATATCAGTATTTTACAGATAATATATTTGTTGTTATCTTTTTATAAATTAAGTGTTAACGGTGCTTCCAGCACTCATAATGACTCACGCGAACCTGATGAGCAATTAATTACTATTTATCAAAGTAATCAATTTATTAGTTTACTTCTAACTCTATGGCATAATTGCTTTAGAAGCGTGCCTGTCGTGTGCGGACATAGATTATATTTTTAGGCAAAATAATAAGTATATTTTACAATTTTGTATTATTATAAGAAAAAAATAGACTCAAGAAAGAAACTCAAATACGACTTTATGCTTTCTGGTTAAAGTAGTTAAGAATTGGTTAACAAGAAGTATATTAAATGAGGCAGGTTTATGTTAATAGAGCCTGCCATAGATAACAACTGAAGTGTGTTATTAAAAGTTCTTTTCATTTTTTTGGCATTTTTTTTCCCTGCAAACAATTGAGATTTTAGGTAAATTGACAGAGATTACATATATTGAAGCGATTCTGATTTCTCCGGTACGTCAATTTGATAGCTAATTATTTCTTTTGCCTCTGCGCTATATGTTTTCTTCTTGAGATATATAGCAGAGGTTAAAATTTATAAACTTCTCACATTATTATTACTAACAAAAATTGCTCAAGACATTTTACCATATAACAACTGTTGTGAGCAATGCTTGGTGCGTCTTACCAAATGGCGTCTACCGACAATTTCTTAAGCACGATACCTCGATATTGTTATATATCAATATTGATATATACCACTATGAAAAATTTTGTTTAAAATAGCTTTTTTTTTAAAATTTTTGTTGCCAAATAGGTGTGTCTCGGAAATCGCAAACATATCCATGTATTTTGAGTAAATAAGTATTTATTATAGAATATTTAAGGTATTTAATATTATTTATTAGCTACTATTATTATATATTTTTTCATATTTTTTAATTATTAATTTAATTTTAGAATAATTATCATCCTCCTCAACAACAAAATTACTTATCAAAATGGCCTGGATTACGTGACCTTCTACTGGCGAGCGATTATGAAGAGGACAACAGTGAAAATAATGAAGTTCTAAATTCACGTTTTATAGATCGTCTACATCGTTTGGCCACACTCTCTGCACAAGACTCGGCAGATGCACGTACCGATTATTATACTAATGATGCAAATGATAATGAATCACAACACTCACAAACAGATCTAACCGATCCATTGTTACAAAACAAATTGAAGGTTCCAGTGACAGAAGCAAAAGCCACATTTAAGGATCATGGCATCAAAAAGAATGTCCAATGTAAGTCTGATTAATTTTATGTAAAATATTTATTATTGTGTTAAGATTTATTTTAATTGTATATAATTTATTAATATTTAATATAAAATTTTATTTTTTCATTACATTTGCATTGGATGTGTGTTAAATGATATTTTTTTAACAATTTGCATTTCTTTTGGAATTATTGACGCACTTGCGCTTATTGATGGTTGCTCTGTTTAATGCTTGTACTTTACTAACATTTAGTTCGAAAGCACTGTAAGTGTTGCATGATTAATTTAATTTAATTATAATACAAATTTTAAATAATTCAATTTATAAATATATCTTTTATCTTCCATTTCAGATATGTCTCCCTGCCATTTCAAAATTTGCAACATGGGCCGTAAACGAAACGCACGTTACTTCTACTAAGCTCAAAATTAATAATTAATTAAATAATTAATTTTATTAATTAAATAATTAATTTTATTAATTAAAATTTAAATGCAATACAATAAATTCTAGATGTAATTTTGTTGTATTGTAATAATTACAAGAAAGTATTCCAGTTTTATTTTAATTATTTATATAGTATTTAATGTAATTATAATTGAAAAACAACACGAACAGACACAAAAGTATTTAAAAATATTTCGTTTTTATTTGTATACAAATATTTAATTTTTTTTACATATTTTTTATTTCTATATATAAAATTATTATTTAAGAATTGTTGCTGTAGTTTATAAGAAAATTATTGGTCAGTATAAAATTTACTATTAAATAAATATTTATTATATATGTATAACTAAAAAAAATAATTATATATTATGTTATAATATTAAATAAAAATATATATAAATTAAAATGAGCAAAATATATATAAAAAAGTGTTTCCATTTCTCGTTAAATATATAAATATCCATTTATGCTTTACATAAATACATATATATATATATATAAATGTTTAAATTAAATATTGTTATTTGACTGCATATTAAATGTATTTTTATTTATTCTCTTCAAATTACGATAAATGCAAATTCGATAGAAAATATTTATTATTAAATACAAATAATTATTATATATATGAGACAACGGATTATATATATGAGACAGCCGATTTGCATAGAAAGTAAGCGTCTCAGTTACAATTAGAAAGGGATAGTTATATATTAAAGTTTGCAAAGTATTTGCTGGAAGATCGAAACTTTTTTTGATATTTGTTTACAATCCATCATTAACTAATTCGCTTAATTTCACGTACTAATATTGTAAGCTAAATTTGAACCATTCTTTACTTTACTTTACTGCTATACTTGTCTACTAGTGGACCATAGGACTGTTCAATCCAACTTTTAAGTATTTTTGTCTCACTCTAGTACATTAATTTTTGATGATGACATCTTACATCACGTATTTTTTTTAGTAATTAACTCCTCGAACTCATAATTGTTTCTAATGGAAAAGGTTCCATCTTTTTTTTTTATTTACAAAAACAAATTGTTTGGCTAGGATTAAGTTTCTTTATTTTTGTTTTCTAAACCAATGCGTTCCATAATTTTTAAATGACCCTTTAATGATGTGCACCCATACTGCTAACGCTGCGTTTTATAACCTCAATTAATCTTCATCTCTGCCTCAGTGCTACCTAAAGTTACGCGATCCTTGTTTTCCGATCTAATATGATGGCTCTTCAATTATGTACTTTAATGCTGTTAAGGCTGCTTACTATAATATTAACTTATCTTTTCCTTTGTTTCAGTCTTACCTAAAACAAACGTGTTCCATTTTTTTCGATCTAATCTGTTGGCTTCATAGTCAATTCTAAGCCGTCTACTAAAACATTGATCTGAATTTTATTCGGGCCATTAATTGTTGTTCTTCCAAGTACCTATTTGACATTTTCTTGAAATACATTTTTTGCATAAATTTAAACCATGTTGGAGATTTAATAAATTATATATAAATATTATCGACCTAAATGTGCGAATTCGAGCTTTGACCTATATGTTCAAATTTGACTGCACCCAAACTTCTCAAGAACCGTCATGAATTCGAACGGAATTCAAAACACCTTAAATTGGTATTAACTCCGACTTTGAATATAAGATTTCCGAGTGTTTGGATTGTAGTACACCATATATATGGTGGGACGTTGGAACAGCGCACTGTTCAACAAGTGGTTCCACTGAAGTGAAGGGCACCATCGTTCGGATTTAATTCAGATTTAGTTCACCATCGGATTCTACAATAGGTTTTATTTAGTGGCAAAAGAAATTTAAATATTTTGCATTTACATTATGAATGATCCAGTAGAGTTTAAAAATAATTTTATAATTTCTTCATAAAAAATACTTTTTTAATAATAGAGATAGATACTTTTAATAAAGATACTTTTTGATGCCCATAAAGACATGTTAAGTTGTTGTTGTAGTAAAATATTTAATCGTCTTTGCAAACGGACTACCTAGAATGATGAGCCGCACTTTTTCGAAAAGACAAGTTACCCCCGAATTGAAGAATCTTCTCGGGAAATAATTGATTTAGTGAATTTAATATGTATAATATATTAAAATGTTGCAAATAAACTTATTTAAATATAAATAATAAGCACCTTAGTAAATTTATTACGAAAACATCGATTTATTTTAATTAAAAATTCTAATATAAACATTTTTTCTCAACATAAAAATTAAGTTTTACGAAAACTACTAAAATCAATTTCACACAGAATTTTTACAAGACATGCATATATTTAATAATAAATGTAATTCTAAAATCTAAGCTCTATGATAAGATTTGGATTTTTAATCATTATAAGTAATAAAATGCGTTGTTTTAAAAACTTCGTATTTAAAATAGTTTATTTTTCTCAAGTTGACTTTTTGCTTTATAAGAATATATTTTAAAAAGGCAGTTAAAACCGTTTTTGATTTGCATCAATGGAATTGATATACGCAGGAAAAATTTTAATTTCTTGACTTAAAAAACGTTTTTATAAAATACTTACACCCATGAGTGCAGATAAGAGATGTACCATCGATTTTCTGCAGATGCTTTAGGAAAAACAAAGGATAACTTAAAAACATTACGCGATTTGTTTCAAACCTTTAAAGGGCAGGAGTCTGCCAAACAAAAAAAAAACAGTTTCTATGAAACACGAGTATCAGCGATAAGCTTTAAAACGTAAAAGATGAAGTAAAAGCACACATTAAAAAAGCGAAGGATTGCTTCAGAACTTTATAAGTTCGAAGGTTTGCGATTTGTTTCAAACCTTTAATGGGCAGGAGTCCGCCAAACAAAAAAAAAACAGTTTCTATGAAACACGAGTATCAGCGATAAGCTTTAAAACGTAAAAGTACACATTGAAAAAGCGAAGGATTGCTTTAAAACTTTACAAGTTCGAAGGTTAAGCCAATTCCTTTACACTGAGTAAAATAAAATTAAAAGGACACTAAGAAATGCAAATTTCTTTAGTTTGCAGGTTAAGCGATTGCTGCAAACTGAGGTGGGATCGTCAAACGAATATTAGCGGCATTCACGATCTTGAATGATAATCTCAGCAATTAAGTAATTGTGTGAACTGAGTAAATGTGTTTTGTAGTTTAAGTTTACTCTTACTACATTCACAATTACTATGTTACTCGGTTACCGAGCTCGTTATTCAAGATCGTGAATACCGCTACTATAAAGCAAAGCAGAGTAAATTGTGCAAACACAAACAAATAATATCAACAAAAAAAGACAAAAATATACGCATAATTTCTACTGATTTCCACTTGACTGAGTTTGTTGCTGCTGTTCCTCTAATTCCAATTCCTTGATTTGTTTGATTACGTCTTTTTTCTTTTTGATTTTATCTAGCTGATCTTTGTCGGGTTTTTTTAGTGCACCACTCTTAATTTTTTCCTCAGTAGCTTCAATTTCTCGCAGTTTTTTACGTAATTTTTTCAATGTTTTTGCTAAGGTTAGAGTCTCCTCCTCCAAGGTCAATGCTGTTTCTACCGTCTCACACAGATTGTTTACATTAGGAGTATTCACTTCTTTAGTTTTAATTGTTGAACTTGACTGTTGTTGATTAGTTGATTTACTTGCTGGCAAAACTAATAAGCCTGGAGTTTGTTGTTTGTTTTTACTGGTACTCGCTATTCCGTTAGCTTGTTTTTCCAGTTGCTTAGCCTTGGCACGTTCTTTTTTTTCGCGGTCTTTTTTTGCCGCCTCAACTGCAAATGGGCACATGCCAGGCGGCAAAGTAATTTTATTTTGCGCAAATTGTTTGCCTTTACTTTCGTATAAAGGAACCTAAAACAAAATAACTGTATATATTTCTTTAAAATAATATTATTATTAAAACCTCTTCTTGTGGCACATAACCTTGTTTTACACGGCGAGCTTTACGCCAGGTACCATCGGGACGTTGTGTGGCCGGTATAAATTTTCCTGTTCAAAATAATTAAATAAATTATCTAAAACGTTTTAAAAAATTGTTACAATGTCAAAATAGTTATTTACCGTCACTGTCTGTTGAATATGTTGTCATTTTACACTTTGATTGGGTTGTGTTTTTGTATTTATGTTGTAAAATTAGATATTGATGGTATAAATGACTACAAAGTACAATATTATAAATTGTATTATTAAACGGATGCTGGTAAATTTGAACATACAGTTTTTATATTAAAAACAAACTATAAGATTTAATTTGATTTGTTTTTTGCAAAGGTTGTTTTTGACAGCTCAGCTGTAACAGCAAAAACAAAGTGCTGCCAAATTTTTGGCACTTAAAAGTGTTGGAAAACGCAAATTCTTAAAAAGAAAATATTTTACATACACATACGTATATTCATTTTCGTTATGTTTAAAACATACATTTAAAAACATAATATTCTACATAAAAATACTTAAATTAACTTTTCATTAGGTTTAAAATTAATTTTGACCTATGTTAGACTGCAGTTATATTGCATGTAAATTTTTTCTTGCGTGTTTTCTTGCATGTTCTTATATTTTTTCGTGCGAACACGTCTTATATTGCGGTCGCATTGTTTGCGAATTGACAGTTCTGCTTTGTTTGTTTTGAAAATAAAATGAATAGTGAATGATATATATTTAACGAAAAATGCTTTATTAAATTCTATATTAATTTCAAATTAATTAGTTAAATTAAATTTGGGTGCATGATTTTTATTTATCAATGTATAATAGTGGAGAATTTGCTTATTTCTCAATCAAAGAAATTACCAAATTATATACATTTCCTAAAACTAACATATGTTATCAGATATATTTCCATTTATAGAATAAAATTATTTGAAAACAACACACACTTCTTCATTTCAATATTTCCATCTTCAATTTCGCACGAACGAATGAATTTCAAACAAAATATTTTGTTTAATCAAATGTTCGTACGAGACAAATAATGTGTCGGGCACGCTAGTTCTTATGTAGCTAGTTCTTAGCAACTGTAACCACTCACGTATTATTGCGTACGTTTGATTTTATCGTACGATAACGCATCAAAAATCGCATGCAATGTAACTGCAATCGTGTATCAATTAGGAAACAAAGATAAAGTAACTGTACTTATCACTTGAAAATTAAATTTTCATTCTTTAGTATATTCTGTTGATATTCTGTTGACTAATAATATCATTCTGCCAATAGTTTATTCTGTTAATAATGGTGTCTTTAGTAAAGATGGTGAATTGTACAACTGTTATGTTGTGATCGTGTGATATTGTTAACGTGTTTTATAAATATAATACTACTCTATTTCATTTATTCAATATTTTAATTCCATTCCATTATTCTCTACAATATGCGCTGATAAGTATTAAATAGGTTAATACTTAAAAGAAAAAAGAACTTCTTTAATAAATACAAAGACAATATAAATTATTAATTTTTTGTTTTTACTAAATATATAATTTACAAATAAAAATTAAATTAAAATAAATTAGTAACTAGGAGTTCTCTGTATAAGTCATGTTCTATTGTTCCTCTACGCAATCCAGTGGGTCTAACTCGCATTGCAGGTACCTTTGCTTTGTATCGTCACATCTGCACAAAAAATGAAATTAAAAAAAATTTATATTTCAATAAATTACATTGAAATCTGAAGACTCTTCTCAATTTAACATTATTTTTTCACTTATCTATTATTTTTGAAGTCAATAAATTCTTTTGGAAGCCCCTAATGAAAACTTACCGATATGTAGGCAGGATGAATAACACTCAAGTTGTGCTTCACTTGTGTACATATAGCCATCTGAACCGCAAACCACTTCTTCATCACCATCCTCGACAATAGCGCACATCCGTTCACAATACTGTTCGGTGTCTTTTTGCTCTGGCTCCACTGGTGCTGGTGTACTGGATGCATCCGTATTTTTACGCACTGAGACACGTCCATAATTCTGCTATAAAATATTTAATTAGAAAATTTCACTCTGACTGCAATGCTATAATTTATTTCAAGAATTGCTCACCGAACTTGCCTGATGCATGTCATCGCCATCTTCTGGATCAGCATCGATTTCATGTATTGGCTTAATTCCACTAATTTTCGTGGCAGATTTTGCAGCGACTGCCTTTTGTGTACTGGTTGCATGTTGCGGGAAACGTGGTGTTGACTGTTGTGCTATTGCAGCTTTATAACGCAATTGTCCTATTGGTGCATTAGTATATGTACCAGGCACTGCATCACGCTCAGTGAATTCAAATCTTACTGGTTCTGGTGTCAAACTTTTCAGAGAATTGTAACGCACCTCTGTGTAGGTAGGAGCAGGTGAAGTAGCTTTAGTGGGCAGAACGCTGGGTATTATATGCTTGATAGCTTTGTTACCTTCTGAATTGACTACGAAGACATTACTGCCTGCTTGATAGCTACCGCGTACAATCGCTGCATTCTCCGTTGGTTCAGCTTGATAGAAGTACTGCGACACTTGGATAGGTTTACTGTAGGTCGAAGTATTCGGTGAATCTGCGCGGGGTTTAGTATACTGCTGTATAATTTGTGATTGATGTTGGTGTTGTTGTTCAAGTTGTTGCTGTTGTTGTTGTTGTTGATGATTATGTGTTGATTGGTGTTGATAGCTGCGGCGATCTTTCTCTTCATCAATTCTTTTATAATTAGGATCCTGTTTGGGTAAGAAGTATTCATCTGTATTCATGAAATTTATATATTCCTGTGCCTCTTTGGGTGCTTCTGTAGAAGGCTTCTGATAATTTTGTGCAAACAAAGGCGCATTACTTTGTGAAGCATCGTTGGCTTCGGTCTCTTCATAGACCGCATAACCATGTTGAGCTCCCAAGCTATTGTAGTTTCCAAGTTCAGTTTTTTCCGCCTCGAATTTCAAGTGATTTTGTGTTTGTTGCGAAGGTTCCTTATATTGTTTTTGCTGCTGTTGTTGTTGATACTGTTGGAAAGGTGTTTGAACGCTAGGTTGATGATTCGGTAAAAACGAGGCAAGCTGTTGCCGTTGTTGATTGAAAAATTGTTGCAATTGGAATTGTTCACGCTGTTGTTGCGGAAATTGTGCTGGCCCTTGTTGTGGTTGTAGTTGTGGCAAAGGATATTGTTGTATGGATTGATAGGGACGCTGTTGCAGCGGCGCTTGTTGTTGTGCACTCTCCGCAGTTGGACGTATAATCGCTTGACCATTGTAATGTGGCGAGGCTTTGAAATTTTGCATATGCAATGTAGGATATTGTATCAGAGCGTTTGGATTGGCACTATTTGAAAATGGTGGTCTGTAGATGTTACCTTTAGTGGCACCTAGTGGCATTCCTTTGGCAAGTGAAAAATGTGCGCCTTTAGTGGGCTCATAGGCGAAACGTTGAACCTGCAAACGTTGTGGACTGATAATAGGTACATTATTTTGCACTCTTCGATTTATTTGAAGACGTGATGCTGCAGCTGCTGGTCTAGTATATGCTATTGGTAAACGCAGAGGTCCTGATGGTTGTTGTCCTAGCGGTGGGAAACGATCTGATCGTGCAGTAATTTTTATTGGTGATCTTGTACGTTTTACGGTGATCGTTGATTTGGGATCCTTCAGAACTTTCATAACGCGTGCAGTACGACTTTTTTCCGTATCTACGGAACTAGAGGTTTCATTATTTATCACAATTGAAGTTGTAGGTTTACTATCGCTTGTGGACGTATTCTCTAGTTCTTGTGGCAGTACTTTCGTGATACTTTGACTAAGTGCTATTACACACACTGACAATAAAAATAGCTTGAAATTACACATTTTACTACGAAATTTTGTGTTGATTTTCAATGTAAATAAAGTTTTTTCTTTAAATTTTCTATTTTAAGTGAAATTCTTTATTCTACTAAAATATTAAATTTTATTTTATATTTAATTTATCTTTTTTTGAAATCACTTCACATTAATTAAGCGATTTAACACTAAATTTCACATCCACAACATTTCTCGATTTAAATCCAAGTTGAAATCTCGAACGAACGTCTTTGTTTCTCAACGGTCAATGCGCGTTTAAGTCTGATCTCGCCAAGTGTGTCAGCGCTTAGCTTGAGTGCTGCAAACTTTTAATACTTTTACCCCGAAAACACATGAAGAAATTGGCGTTTCTTTCTCCAAATTCATTTTCTTTCTTATTTGAGATTGTCGTGTTTGTGCATTTACATCGCGTTAGAGGTTCACTGCTCAGTCAAAAATCTGGAAACTGCTCGCAATGTGATTCTGACCGAAGATGCAAATGCAAATCTTCCGTTGGTCTCATTGATTGCATTGCGCTGCCTTGTGCACATCGTACAGCTGGAAGTGCTTAATCTTGTTTTGTTTGCTATGTGAACTGGACCAGAAGAGAAGTGTTATGCTATGAGCAGCTCAAAAGAAAACTTAGACGGTTTTAGTCTAAAACGGTTTAGAGCTGTTCCTGCTGAGCGAACTGGTTCACATAAATCACCCATTTTAGTTGTACATCAGCGGCACATTCAGCGGAGTTGTGTCGCTTATGATAGTGCCTGGCCTTAGTGTTTAGCAGTTCATAAATTTTAATTTGGCTTAAAGTAGTTTACAGCTTCTGTAATGTATGGCAAAATTATGCGTAAGTAAGCTTAACAATCTGGCAAATTTAATTACAAAAATATTTAATTTTTATGTTAGTGATTTATTATCACTTTGTACAGTTTATTATCAGTTTGATTTAGTAGGTGTGTAGAAAATATTTTAAAATAGTAAATTATTTCTCTTATGCACTTGATAGTATAGTTTATTTAGTAGGTGTGTAGAAAATAATAGAAAATTATTTTTTTATATCTCCTATATACTCCCTTGAGCCACTCTATAAAATTAACACGGGAGTGTTCGACATAGCGAAGGATGAACAGAGCATATTCCTGCACTGTCCTGCCTTCAAACTTTTGTTCAAACTATAAAACCAACACGGGAGTCTTCGATATAGCAGAGCATAAATAGAGTATACTTCTGTACTATCCTGTCTTCAAAGTTTTATTTTAACTTTTTGTTCCAAAACCGCTTCAAAATGGGGGCCAACAAGATCATTTTGCTACTGTTTGTGGTTAGATTCAGATCAATAATTTGTCCTTATGATTAAATTAAAAATTAAATTTTTTAATTATTATCTTCAATGAAATGAAATTTGAAATGTTAAATATATATATATATAGTTCGTGAAAAGTATTTCTTGCCACTTTTGTCCAGTGATTGCTCAAGTTCAACTATTAAAAGTTCTCATTTTTAATAAACTTACAAGACACTATGATAATTCATTACAAAGTATGTTTTGTAATATTGTATAATATATATCAAATATCTAGTGGTTCAAGAGAATATCCAATATTGATTTGTGGAATAGGACAGACCTACATCAGAACAACATAAAAATTCGAGAACGCCAAATTGCAATATTGCTCGATAAGCACTGAGGTCGGGTCTGATAGGTTTTAGGCGACCCATTAAACCGGCAATAAGTTGGAGGAGAACAGTGGCACGTGAATTGAAGGATGTAAAGTATATATGAAACAACATCGTAACCGATTTTCATAACAAAGTTCAACTCCAATTGATAATAGAGGCTATATTTCCTCATTAAGCGTTTTTTCTTAAGAAAATCTTATCTTAAAAACCGTAAGATAAACAAAAACATAATAAATCTATCCCGTCAAATTTAGTCAATTTAATTGGCCTTTTGTTCTTATCGATAAACAATCTGACAAGCTGTCAAAATAGTACTTTCCTGTTTCTTCTAGACGCCAGAGCCGGGTATTTACAAGGAAAATACTTAATAGTTTCTTTTTTCTGTATGTTTTCACAACTTCTGCAATGATTTCTCTAGCCATCATCATTACTTTAATATTTACATATTTTAGGAATATTCAAAGAATTTGTGCATGGAGTGGTTACCACATCTTTTAAAAATAAAAACAAGAGTGGGGGTTAGGTTACATTATACCAATGATACCTAGGGAATCTACTTACCCCATTGTGTTACTGTATATAGAGGAAACTCAGGACTTAAAACCACCTAGAACCTTTGGCGAAGCTTAAAATGCTATTTAGTGAAACATAATTGTAATTTATCAAGATCCTAAAGAAAGGAGACTCCTAAAGTGTTGACTCGTTGTCGTACATGAGCTGGGCAAAGACATGGTTGATGAGTGGCACTTTTATCGTCTTCCGCACAACTAATTGAGAAATGATTAAAAAGGAGATTCTATCTTCTAGCACTGTTCATTAGTCTGCAGTGACTTGTAAGTAAACTTACGATAAGACTGATAACTCTAGGAGGCATTTCAATGAGAATATTGGATTTCGTTTTAGAGAAAAGTGGCCAAATTGTATACAGAAGCCTGCATATCGTCGAGTTTTATCATTTTTTATTAAAAATTTCAGCACAGAAAGAACTCAGTAACAAAGAGTGAGGGTTACTTATATATACTATTAAATAAATAACTTTAGTATGTTGAGAAATAATTTTATTTAAAGTTTTATTCGTCTTATTTTTTTGAGCTTTTTTGCAAAGATTTTTTTTAACAATAATTAAGTTAAGTGCATCATGATCTCCTATATTCCTTTTAATCATTCTGCAATATCTTTACTAACACCTTTATTCTTTTAGCTTCAGGAGCTACAGTTATATGAGCTTAATATAGATTAATAGAATATAATCCGTTACAAACTTCTCAACGTTTAATTTTTACATTTAAATTAGAAGTTTATATAAACAATTTTTACAATTGCTAACTTATTATTATTATTGTAAATGGATATGGTACTGCGACCGTTGGGTCTATTATGCTCCCTTTTGGACTTAGAGTAGATCTCTAAGCCCTGTGTTGCGTCAAAATTGTTAAGTTACCAAAGTACCTAATACTTTTTCTTCTATTTCAATCTATTAGCAGTAATAAAAGAAAGATAGGATCAATAACTATTTGAAATCAAACTTTCGGAACTAATTAGCGATAATTATCAAATTCTGATCGGTAGAGTTGCACTTTCCCAAACTGATTTCGGTAACCATTTATTCAGTTTCTTTCTATTGAATTTCATCAGTTTTAAGTGCCTAAATACTAATTTTAAATTCATTTGCATATTCGTGGATATGAAATTGTCGTAGTAAAAACGCCCTCCAAAGACAAAAAGAAGAGGAAAAGAGTTGTTAAATTCTAAAAATAATAAAAACTCTATTCAAATTTGTTAAATTGATTTTCAATATGGAAACTAACGGAAACACTTCAACTGCCGATAATCACGAAATTGTAAAATTATTGAAATCAGGTCGCGGCATTTAATTTCGATTTAATCGAACAGAAATATTTTAGCTGTGGTATGCGAGCGTTGCGATGTGAGATGAGATGAGATACGAGATACGAGTTGATGATGCATCGCGTCCACAAATTGGATGATTGGCGTCAAATTAAAATTCAATATTAATACAAAAATGTCATAAAATGCAAATATGCCTAAAAGTAAAATTTAATTTTGATAAACTATATTGCAGTCTGATTTTCCGGTAACCAATAAAAAAAATATTAGTAAATATGAAGTAGATATGTTGAAAATGGTACTGATAAATTAAAAAAGTTGAAAATTATTTTATAATTTATATTGCAATTAAAAGAGAATCTAGTTTACTAGTTAAAATTGTACGAATGTCTTAGATTCAATTATTGTTTTCAATTATATTATTAAGTGCGAGCGAAATTAGATTCCAATGGTATCAATCGCTTCGAGAATTCTTCTATCTTGTCGAACCACTCTCGGCTGGTTTTTGCTGAACGAATCTTGTAATTTCCCAGCACGCAAAATTGTTAAAAGTGAAATTATTATTCGTATTGATATTTTAATATATTTTAACACAGTTAGTGAAAGAAGTGGCAAATCACAGCTGCTATGCGAAACAAAAGCAATACGGACTCAGTTACAGATACCGACGCAGTGGCAGATACAAGATACAAGATACAATGCCAGTTACAAAAATTCATAATAGAAAACTTTCGCTGTGGAATTTGTTGGCTTCCCGAACAATGCATCGAATTCTAATAAAATATGAAGAAATATTTTGATTTGTTTATAATTTGTAAATATATTCAAATTAAATGCTAAACCGTTATTTATGAATTCGATTTGAATTTTTTTCTAATAACTTCGGAAAAAGTGTCTTTCTAACGTCTTTGAACTTGACAAAGAGAAGAAAGATAATTATTTTGTTAAATTTATTATGTGTGGAAATTTTGAATGATAAATAATTTTAATTTATAAACAAATTTTCAATGCAATTTATTTTTGGACTTTTGACAGCATTACGTCAAAACTTATATAAGATTTATTTTTTTTGAAAAATCTAATAATATGGAAAAGCTTGAAATACTTCAAAAAAAAGAAAATATTGCAAGTGAGCCAATTTGTTGCAGATACCAGTCATAATTTATAATATACAACTGTGAACCACTAAAAATTATTTATATTTAATATATTTAATTAATATTTAAATTTTAAATAAATAAAAAATTAAAGCGGTATTTATTCCAATGCTCTGTGAAATTTATATCCAATTTATTTTTTCAAGGTTTGGCTACAGAGGAAACATCGCTTTCCCAAAGTTTTAATATCCTCCAAACAGATAGTTACGCTTATGTTAAAAATTAGTTATTTTTTACTATTTAATATTATTATTTAATATATGTAATTCTTCAAATATTGTGTGAAATTGGTTTTTCAATGCTAATAAAAACAAACTTCCTCAAATATAAAATAACTATA